GTCTAGCTCTATAGAGATAAAAAAAGGTGTTATCTTGTGTGTGTGTGTGTGTGTGTGTGTGTGTGTGTGTGTGTGTGTGTGTGTGTGTATACTGTTATATATGTGTGTATTTTATTTTTTTTTTTGTCCATTAAAGGGTGGGTGGGGAAGACCCTTCAACATGCAATGTCGTTTTTCCTGTGGCAGCGGGCACCCCACTCAGGTATTATCCCCACATCTTTGGTTTGGGCGCGCTGATTGTTGAGCTAAAAGTCTGGTTCACCAATTCAGCTCAAAACCATTCTAGAAAGCGGGTTGAGTGAGGTTTTCGTTCCAACCACACACTTTAAGCTGGCACATGACTTGAAATATTTTCATCAACAGGTGGGAAAGGTGGGTAGATAGAACTTTCTTGAAGTATATGGCCCCTCTATCATTGCAGATTCAATGTGCAGATTATTGATCGGCAACCCCTATGCACCTAATTACATTTATGTCTAGAGTGGGATGTTGGGGGGGGGGGGCTGTGGATGTCTCCCCATTAGCCCCCATCCTCTGCACACCCCTGGCCGCAGGTCCTGCTGAAGAAATCAGTCCCAAAGCATCATGATGCCACCATATTTCACTGTCGATATTAGCAGTGCTTTGAAAGTATGGAAGCACAGTTCAACCTTGGTTTCAATGGCCCATGAGACATTTTTCTAACATGCTCCTTTGGGAGATTTCTGGGTTTTTGTTTTTAGGTAAGATAAGGTTTTCATATTGCCACACCCCTTACCCCTTAGCTCCGAACAAGAATGATGATTGTTGTCATGGGTACTAAACAGCCAGCACTTGCCGGAAATTCCTGCTGCATACATTTTACTGACACTGTTCATAGCGCCATATTTTCTCCTCTTGATCATGACTGTCTTGTGTGTTCCACTGTATATTTAATGCCTGAGACATTCTTTCATACCCTTCTGCTGACTGAAAAATGAGATCCCCTGATGCTGTGGAAGCTCTCTGTGGACCATATCTAGTGTTGTAAGATGTGACTGTCAGGAAAAGCCAACTAAAAATAAAATCTTAACCCATTCAGGGACAGGGGTTACAGCAGCAGGTGTGTGCTGACTGCCATTTAACATGAGTTGTAATGTATTTGGTTGATTTGGAACACAACCACATCCTCAGTGAGAAGAGGCTCGCAGTTGTTGAATTCACTTCCCCTCATGAAAAGATTTTGTTCTTCCCATTGAGTTGTGCAGGTTGTAGATCGAAAAAGTTTCTGCATCTTTCGATTGGTCAATTAGGTGGAGAAGCTGGAATAACAAAAAGATGTTCAGAGTTCAAATATTTCATTAAGCTTGTAAAGCCTCCAGTTATTTATCCTCAACTGAAGCTTGCAATGCAGCAAAAAATTGTTGTGGGGGGGGAAAAAAAGAAGAATAAAATTGATTACATGACAAACCTCACTGGTTTTGTCAATGATCTTGAGGCAAAAGTAAAAAAGATATCTTGAATGTTAATTATACAACATCATATATCTGGTTCTGCCCAAGTCTGTTTTTTTTTTTTTTTTTAATCTTGGCCATGGGTCAGTGGCTTTGCTGTTTGGCTTGTCGCTGGCTGACTAGCTTCCTGAGGTAGTGGCTGATGGCAGATGGCTTCTTGTAGATCATTCGACGGTCTACTCCTTTTATGTGAATGTGATCGACGGATGGGTAGGACTCCTCCAGAAACTTCTTTTGAAGCCTGGATACCATCTGGTACAGGAAAAAGACCATTCATCACAGGTTTTACATGATTGTCCAGACGTTAATCTCAGCATACAATATTCGATATAAGGCAACAGAGAAAATCCTCGTAAACAGACTCACTTGATTTAGGTGATTTGGGATTTGTTGGTCAAAGGAATCCCCAGTGATCACGCTTACAGAGGTCCTGCTCGACAGAGGCTTATATCGCACAATGTCCCTTTAAAAACAAACACAAAGGATGTTTTTTTTGTTTTGTTTTTTTTACTCACTTCACCCCCCCCCCCTTGACAAAATAAGTTTACCTTACTTGAGCTGCACTTTCATTCATAAAGTAATATTCATCCACAGCACTGCTCTGATGGGCAGGGTTACTTAAAAGGTATTTCTAGTGAAGACAGAAAAGAAACATCATCGGTATACAGTAAGAGAACATGGCACATGTTTTAAGTGGTAAATTACTGAGCCTATCTATAGCCCAAGAATGGAATGCAATCAGATGGGGTGATGATAATGTCGCGGCAAACAACGGTGCTCCAGTTCGGTTCAACAGTGGCTATAGAACTTGCTCTTCAGATATGAACGACATGCTCGACTGAGTTTGGCCAGCTCGTGTGCGCATTATAACCTTCACTAGCGTGTCCACAAAACCCATTTCTTCGTCCTTGGAATAATTCAAGCACAATGATGTCCTTATCTCCTTGGCAACAACTGTAATACTTGAAAAGCTGAAAGAGGTCCCGCATCGCAACTGCCATCAAATTGTGGGTGGGTGGAAGGCTGGCGGCGGGGAACAAGGAGATGAAACCAACTGCTCATTTTCACCCACCAGCACACGTCACCGCATCATCAAGACAGTGGATGAAAATGCTGATCGTGTGGCACGGATGTTTGAATGTGACCGATGGCACACATAAGTTGTTATAATAAAACAAAAAACGGGTACAACTGTTCCTGTCAAATAGGCAGTATTGGAAGAGAAGTATTGAAAGCATTCCTTGTGAAAAAGACAAATGGAGGTTTTCATTTCAAAAAGTAGCATTGCTTTTTTGTTGTGGTGTCATTATTTTGTAGATGATATGCCATATTGCAGGTGTAATTAATGTTGTGGCCGGTGAGCGTGTAGCCTGGCTCTCTACAACATCGGGTAGATAAAAAAGGAGAGGGTCTCAGTCCACGGATTGTGCAACACCAGAAAGCGCTGCCTTTAGGACCTTATTAATGCGGAAATGTCACTGCTTTTGTTTTCCAAGCGCGGCGGCTCTGACGACGAACCTTCCCATGTCTAAAAGCTCATTTAAGACAGGGTTTGATATTAACTGCCGCTGCCTTACTAACTGTACAAACAACGTCTGACTTGAAAACAAGAACATATCAGGAGACATTTGTGGCTAGTGGAGTCTCCAGGAACATGTTCAATTCTCAGGCTTTTAAAAATGACATCTGGTATTGTCGCCCTTCCAAATTCACATTTGCTGCACGCTTGGAAACAAAAGGCCCCAAACCAAGTGCTGAGGCCAAGCAACGATCAGTCTTGCAAACAGCCCCACCCTGTGGCAGAATGGGAGCACTGAACACATTGCTCGCAAACACCTGCCTGTCCTCCACGGGGCGAAAAAGACATTCCCAAAAAAAATCGACGCAGAGCCGACATGGTTCTGCGTCACACTCATTCCAACATCTGTGGCATTCAGTTTCCTGAGCATTTCCAAAACACCTCGTAATCTATTTCTCAGCCTTTTCTTCTTGAATTGGAATAATCAATATCAGGTCCTGTCGGGAATGCTCTTACGTGGCTTGTGTTGTTGTAGTGTGTGTTCAAGAGTGCGCATTTGCCTGACCTGCCTCTGGATGATCTCCTCAGAGACATTTTCTTTGATAGTTGGTTCAATGGCTCCCAGGATAATCAGCAAGCGGCTCAGCCCGGAAGCTGCTGAAAACTGCTTGGCTTGAAGGGATGGCAGCAGCTTACCATACCTGAAGGAAAAAAAAAAAAAAAACACAAAATCTTGAAATGTTTGCATAAGCTCACAAAAATCTCAGTAATTGAACACGTTTTTGGCCAAACGTTTTGTTTTTTTGTTGTTTTTTTTTTTTTTGCATTGTGCTAAAGTAAAAAAGAAATCAATAACCATATTTTTTTTCTTATCTGCCGTGCATGGGGAAAATGCAACAGTTTACTGGTAAAGAGGGATAT